TCTAAAATAAAGTAGTAGACAGACAGCAATTAGGTGTTTAGTTCGGAATCATGTGGGCCATATCCTTGAATAGGGGTGCAACTTGTGTCAGGTTGGATTTGGAATTTGTCAAATTTCCAATGGGCCCAAACCATAACCCAAGCCTGATGTAGTTGCAATTCTTCAACTTGGGCAACCCAACTTACAGCCCTAATTAAGGCCCAACCAACTGGTATCACAACAATAAACATAGCTGAAGGGCTGCAAAAGAGGCCCACTTGCTGACAGTGAGATGTGGAGCAAGGAAGCTGTGCATAGAGGGAGGCTCAAGGCTTATCATCGAAACCCTGGAACACTCTTGACATAATAGAGGACTGCCACAAGATTTTGAGGGAAGCTGGAATGCTGGATTTGAAGTAGTGTACTATCATGTTCACAGGGAGATGGATAAAGCAGTGGATTGGTCAGCAAGCCCGGGTTCATATCCTCTTAGGGGAACCTTCAATAATGTCAATGAGATTTGCAACAAGCCAACAAGTATGAACCTTTGTATGTTGTAGATGGTTCTCCAGGGTTGTGCACTTGTGCTACGCATTGCCTTCTGTAGCCTGCTCACTTTTCTAAAAAAAACTGTGGGTGCAGGGATTTCAGAATTAAAGAAAGTTACATGTCTGATGTATGAGTATGACCCAAATATGCATCAAGCCTGATTGCTCTTTAACTGGAGTCTAAAACTGCCTCTTGGCTTCCATGATCCAAATCATACCAAGCAGAAAAATTTCACCATCTAATCAAGAGCTCTAACATGTCTAGCCTAACTAAAATATGGTTCAAACTTATTTATTACAGGCATGAGAAATAAAACTTGGTCCATCAGGGAAGCAAATTTCTTCTGCTTTACTTGAGTTGTTTTTAAGAATGCAAATCTATGCAAAATTTATCCAATGAATAAATTACTATCAGGTTATGAAAATATTGAATACATACAATCAGCTTTGGAATTCCCATTTGACTGAAGCTGTTTGTATTTGCCTTCATGCAGGTTTTATTTTGACTTCAGCCCAACTTATGTTGGATGTGGTCTTATCTGTCCCCACATAGTCAACTGCTCAGTTCTTCTTGGGGCCATTATATCATGGGGTTTCCTTTGGCCCTTCATTGCTAAACATGCCGGAGACTGGTACCCAGCTGGACTTGGTAACAATGACTTCAAAGGACTCTATGGATATAAGGTATGATGAAATCATCAAATAGTTTAAGGATTGATTATGGAACCAGTTTTTACTGTTGGTTGTGAATTGGGATTATTTGTGCTTTATATACCTTTTACAAATAGTTCAATGTGAAGCTAGGGAAAAGAAATGGAATATGGTGAAATTATTTTTTTTAAAGCACGATTCCACATCTCAGTCCTACTATACAGTTTTTGTCTATACTGATCCATCACTTTTTAACAGATTGTTACATTGCTGAAGTTATATCTGTGTGTTGCTTAGAGTTTCTTGACTGTTACAACTTTAAATACAGTATATCTGATGGGAAGAATGAAGCCTTTTTCCCCTATAATATCAATTTTACAGAAAAGCAATGTTGTCTAGTTTCTCACTTGGATACTACAAGTACTCCAGCATCACCTGTAACTACTGTTTTAAGAAAAGCAAGATGAAAAGGTTTTTATTTTTCTCTAATAATTCGGATGGGGATGGCTTACAGTATTTCTTGATCCCGACAAATTTGCATCGTAAAAGTAGTTGAAGAATCTGGATATTTTTCTTATCCCTATTTCTTACCCCTTTTTTTGCTTTTTTTTTTGTGTAATCGACTTGTTTCAAGGGATTTACAATCACTTGCAGTCTAGAACTTGATCATATAATTCTTGAAGCATCTATTAGTGAATGTTACAACATTCTAGAGCTGTTTGGCTTTTTAAACTAGACTTTTCCTACCTTTGTTGTTAAGAATATACTTTTTCTGTCATTATCAATTGTGAGTTTAATCTTCTAGTCTAAGAATTTGAGATAATACTCAAGCTTCTATATCCTAGTATCTATTCCTTCAGCTCAATGTTAATAGGTGTTTTATTTGCTTGGACTATTGCCAGGTCTTCATTGCTATATCTCTTATCCTTGGAGATGGTTTATATAATTTAATCAAGATAATTGCAGTAACTGTAAAGGAAATGTGCCACAAGGGCCCCAAAAAAAACCTTCCTGTTATCAGTGAGTTTCAAGGTGATGCCTCTTTATTGTCTTTCTTCTTGCCTTCTTCCTTTGCTCTTCAGCTCTTTTTTTTGCCTATTTGTGCTTTCTAGAATTGATTTTGAGAAGTTTAATATGGAATGGAAGGATACTAGGTAGGAAACTCTTATTGGCCTTTGTATTGTGTCACTGAACTCTTATTGAACTTTAATGTTGCTTCATGGGGATTATGAAGGGCTAGATCTTCATTTGTGCACAATAAATAATGCCGTCTCCTTGTCTTGAAAAAGGCATTTTCTGTGACAAAGTTCTTGATTCTTAATTATGTTGTGGCATGCTTATCTGGCAACCTAGAAGGATTCTTACTCAAACTTAACATTTAAGGGTGCACCTTAATATTAGTCAATTAATCTTTTTATTTGATTAGATTAGTCAGGGCAGTGCAGAGTTTTCCTTTTAGTGGCTTGAGACAACTTATGGGATCAGACAGTGCAGTCACAATCGGTGAGTCTATGATTAAGAAAGGATGACGGCTGGTTAGCATGAAGCTTCTACATGGACACAACTTTTATGTGATTTGACCACATGAATCCAACAAAGAGTGGACAGTCTTGATACCATCTCTATTCATTGTTGGCAGAGAATGCCTTTACTATTTAGGCACGTTGAGTGATCATCCAGTAGAAAAAACCATAGCTAAGCAATTCAAACACCCCTCCATAATAGGCACCCAAAACAATCATCCCTGATAACATAACTCCAAACTCCAACCAAAACTCTTGGACATGATTTGGTGGAATTATGGCCAGAGCAGAGGAAACATATGGTTCTTTGATGAAAATCACTACTTTTTGTTATATGATTTTTTCCCAGTGTAAGTTGTTTAGGTGAATTGAAAATTTATGTATATTGAATTTTAGGAGCTTAAATATACCTACTTTCTAGTCTAAATTCTAAATCCAGAACTACCATCTGGAGACTTTCTTTTCATTGAAAGGTAAAGTATAAATGTGTTTTATTCAAAAAGAGTCTGTGAATACAGAAAACCAACATGCACTAGAGATACATCAGGATACATATTAAATTCAAAAAAAAAATATTGTTTGCTGTCTATACCATCTATACAAAAATGTGTGGTCGAGGAAATCTGCAACAGTCAGAGGGTCAGTTTCCTTGTTTTAAGCTCCGTTAGATCAAAAAACCAGTTACCAGGAGGAAAGAAATCGTCTCTTTGAGCTATATGTTTTGGTGATTTTTTATATGCTATCTAGCAATTGAAAAAAGTTTTGTGCTGATTTTTTTGTTATAGAAGAGGTTTGATTTCCAATATCTCTTTTTCTTTCCTTAAAATTTATCCCTAAATTCTTAAACTTGAAAAATCATGTTAGGTTATTTTACCTATCATCTACAGTTCATCTTGGTTAATAAACTGATAAATTATTTATGTTGTAGTTTCCTTGATTGCTTTTTCAGTTTTTTATTTATACTTTGTTAATTGAGCAATTCATACCCAGCTTCTTTTTGTGATTAATTGACCTATTCCTTGTATTAGTTTGCAGCTCCTTTGGAACCCATTACAATCCTAGGTTTTTGATAGGTCCATTAAAATCCTAGTTGACTAGCCTAAGTTTCAGGAAATAAGAATCTCCCTACAACATTTTCCCATTAGGAAATTCACAGGCTGGGAGTTATATGTCGGGCATGGTCTTCACATTTGCCTGTATCATCACCATCATCATCATCATCTAAGCCATGTCCCAACCATATGGGTCAGCTACATGAATCCTGTTTTGTCATTCCATTCTGTCTAGTGCAATATCCATTGCATTTGCCTGCATATACCTTTAAAATACAAAGGACCCCTAATAAAAATCATTTGAGTTGTAATTCTATGGTATAATACACATGTTCATCGTGTGTTACATACACTACATAATTTATTTTTCAGTGCATTGTAATTTCTAACTTTAAATGACATACATGTGTTACTTCCCCACATCACATTAAATCATTAACCCTTTTAGTGGATTGATTGTTGATATTAATTGATGTTACAGATGATGAGGGCTCCAAGTTGGTTTTGGAACAAAGGAAAAAAGATGAGATATTCTTGCAGGACAGGATACCATCCTGGCTTGCAGCTTCTGGATACATAGTTTTGGCAGCAATATCAACAGCAACAATTCCTGTCATCTTTCCACCGCTAAAATGGTATCTGGTTCTCAGCTCATATATTATCGCCCCTGCTCTTGCCTTCTGCAACTCGTATGGCACTGGTCTCACAGACTGGAGCCTGGCCTCAACGTATGGAAAGATTGGCCTTTTCTTCTTTGCTTCATTGGTGGGAACAAAGGGTGGGGTCATAGCTGGGTTAGCCGCCTGTGGTGTGATGATGTCCATTGTCTCGACTGCTGCTGATCTCATGCAAGACTTCAAGACCGGTTACCTCACTCTCTCATCAGCGAAGTCCATGTTTCTAAGCCAATTAATAGGGACAGCCATGGGGTGTGTCATTGCACCTCTCACGTTTTGGATGTTTTGGAGTGCTTTTGATATTGGATCCCCTGATGGTCCCTACAAAGCTCCATATGCAGTAATATTCAGGGAAATGGCTATTCTAGGAGTTGAAGGCTTCTCTGAACTGCCCAAGCATTGCCTAGCAATATGTTGTGGGTTCTTTGTGGCAGCTCTGGTTATAAACCTTTTGAGGGATGTCACTCCAAAGAAGGTCTCACAATTCATCCCTGTACCAATGGCAATGGCAATCCCATTCTATATTGGGGCCTACTTTGCAATAGACATGTTTGTTGGGACCGTGATTCTGTACATATGGGAAAGGATAAATAAAAAGGATGCAGATGACTTTGCAGGAGCGGTTGCTTCAGGTCTGATATGTGGTGATGGGATTTGGACAATACCATCAGCAATCTTCTCAATTTTCAGAATCGACCCACCTATCTGCATGTATTTTGGGCCTTCTTTGAGTAGCTAGCTGAACATTGCTTCTGTCAGTTGCACCCGAGCTGTTGCTATTCCGAAGCCGGACTAGCATTAATAATTTGTAACTTCTGTAAATAGTTATTTTTATATCATGATGGTGATAGCTTCTGCCTTCTGTATGCTTCATTTACTAGGGTTTCCATCAATGTCCATTCTTGCACTGTTGTACATGGTTATTTATTATTGGTATTCTGTATATGTATTCTCTCCGAGCATGAGTTGCGTTCAAGGTTTTAAATCTGCATACATCTGTGAAAACTTGAATTTATATCATCCTTGGTGGTTTCTTAGATGTCGGTAGTCTTCGTTCCTGGAGTGATAGTGAATGATTATTATGATTATGATGGTCAGACCACGAATATAATCTCTGTAAAATCCTTTTTTATGTTGATTTCTTAATGAGACAATGGGCGTTGTAGACTACGATTTTAATAGGGAAATTGTCTAAAACCATGTCTATTAAACTCATCAAAACTTTTCAAAACGTTACAAAACTTACCATGTCTATTTTAGATCCATTTTGTAATATCCCAACTTCAGACCAAATGAGTTCACATCACAGGAGTTCTCTCTCTCTCTCTCTCTCGCTTTGCTACTGGTGATCAGAGGTGCCTCGGCCTGGTACGGTGCGACTTGATGGTTAACGGGCTGTGCCAGGTCCGGCATTGAGGTCCATGTCATGTTGGGCCGGGGGTTTGAGGGTCCATAGGCCCATGGACCGGCACGACATGGCTTGTCAGGACCGTAACAGGCCACGCTCAGCTTTGGGAGGGGGGGCCCAACGGCTAATTTCAGCTTTTGGGGGGTTTACAGAAATACCCCCAACAGTTATAAATAGTCATATTAGGGGGGTATTTCTGTATTTTGTTTATGGGGAATTGAAAAATGACATAAATGCTTTCCAACAGCTATATAACAACTAGTTTAGGGGGACATTTTGGGTAAAGTTAGAAGTAACTTTATAATGACCAAAATACCCCTCCTAACAACTAAATAACAGAGTTTTTTGGGTATTTTAAACAATTGAATTATGTTCAATTCCTATAAATAGCCTTATCCTCCACCATTCTCATCATACCAATTCAACAATTCTCTTAACTCTCTCTCTCTCTCTCTCTCTCTTTCTCTCATACTGATACATTCTCAATTATTTGCAATATGAGAAATTTTGATTAGCTGATTGTCTGATTCTGCATTCTCCAATTCTCAAGTCTCAACTTTAACGAAGTTTCGACTTTCAACAACAAAAAGACTTGCTCAACCAGCTCAAGTATCTCAATTTGGGAGGTTTGGATGTTGAAAGGCTTCAACCGTTGAAATCAAATGGGATTTTGAACCGGCAATCCGGAAAAGTCGAATTAAATTAATTTTTATCTTTTTAGAATTAAAAAAATGGTTGGCCCTTCTTAAAACCGATTCCCCAACATGTTCACCATGGATGACATTCAATTGCATCACGATAGTATTAGCGTTAGCACTGATGCCGATGCGTTTGATGTCAATGGAAGTGGAACTTTCACCCCTGGTAGTAGTGATACTAGGGGAAAAATGAGGGCTTCTAAGCTGAGTAGCCCGGTTTGGAAAGTTTTCAAAGTAAAAGATATTGAGGGGAAGGGGAAAAGGGCCGTTTGCCAAAAATGTAGGAAAGACTTTAGTTATTGTAGCAATGGTGTTACGGGCCATTTGAATAGACATCTGCTCACACATGAGCGAGAGGAAAATGAAGGGAGAGAAACAACCCAAACACAGATTGGGAGGGGGACTAGTTTTGGTACTTTTAGATATTTACAAGAAAAAATGAGACAAGAACTTGCTAATTTAGAAAGTTGTATATTAGATGTAAAGCATATGTGGAATTCTACCTATGCTATGTTAGAAAGTTGTATATCTCATAAACAAATTCTTTCTGATTTTTATAATTTAAAAATGTCAATGATATGATATTTGAGGAAGATTGGGAAATGGCAATCTGTACAAAAGATTTTTTAAAACATTTTTATGATGCAACAAATGAATTATCTGGAATTTATTATCCAACTAATTGTAGTTTACCGTATCAATTAATGGTAATTAGTGATTGTTTTGCCAAATATAGAAATAATCCACAATTTCAATGTATTGTTGAAATTATGGAAAATAAATTTAAAAAATATTGGGAAAACATTTCTCCCCTTTATAGTTTAGCTACAATATTAGACCCTAGGATTAGGAAAGATGGTTTAGATATTTTACTTGAAACATATTATGAAAATATGAATATTGATGTAGGAAATAAAAAATAAGAAATTAATAATTTATTATTTAAAATGTACAGTTTGTATAAATCTGAAGTCGTAGAAAATATTCCTACAACTTGTTCATCATCATCATCTTCTTCTTCTCCTTTTGACTTTGAGCCTAGTAGTAGAAGGCAGAAATCTACTAGTTTTACAATAAGTTCATTTATTGAACTTAATTTTTATTTGCAATCAAAATTTTCTAATTTAGGTGAAGTATCAAATAATTTTGATATTTTAGCCTGGTGGAGTTAACACTTGAAAAATTATCCGGTTCTCGCCACCATGGCATGTGATCTACTAACCTCTCTGATGTCTATAGCTCCATTGGAGTTTTGTTTTAGTGCAAGTACTAGGGTGCTGGATGACAAAAGAAGCTGCATGAAGGAGGAGAGAATAGAGATATGCATCTACTTCAAGGATTGGCTAGATGCAGAAGATAGATTACAAGACAAGGGAGGGCATGATACAACACCGAATATTTCACCCGAAGCAGATGATGAAAGTCATGAATGATGATTCATGAATTTGACTACTTGTAGAATTTTTCATTTTTTCAAATTATTTTAAAATTTATTTGATATATTTTTTAAATTTTTTTAACAATGTAATTTTGTATTTTCAATTTAACCATATTGTATTTTTTATATTTTATTAATTCATTCTATTTTTATATTTCGTTCATCCAAGTATACAATGATTCAATCATTGTATTTGTAATTCATTAATTTATACCATTCAAATTTAAATGAAATAAAATTCCTATTTTTCTTTCAATTTGTTATTCCACAATTCTTATTTCAACTTGGTTAAGTATTTTTTTCATTTATGTATTAAATAACTTAGATTTCTCATTTCTTAATTTTTTAAATAGTTCCTAATTCCTAAAGTTTACAGAAAAGTTAACTATTTTAGCTTTATAATTTTACTTATAAAAGAAATCAAAATTTTTAAAAAATTAATAAATAAAAAAATAGTGCAACCCGGTTCGGCCTAAGCCCAAGGCCCGCTCTATAACTCAGCCTGGCACGGTCCAAGCCCAGGGCACGGCCTGCAGCCTGGCACGGCCCAGGCCACCGTGCCAGCACTGCACGGCACGAGCCCGCTTGCCTGTGCTGTGGGCCATGCCGGGCCGACCCCTAAAGTTTCCACCGGGGATGACGGCACAGTCCGTCGCGGCCCGCGGGCCAGCACGGCACGGTGTAGACTATTGAGGATTCCCTTGTTGATCGGGAAGCGCCGACCAGTTTCCGGGCAGATTAGAAAACCTTCTTCAAGGTGAAGCTCGAGTAGGGTGTGGTGGAACTTCTTCAAGAAGTCTTCGGAGTCGAGCATGGGTGAATCGACCTCATCGGGAAGTTGAGCGTAGCCCATGGATCGAGTGGCATTGACGAGAGCCTTCCATTCGCTCTTGGGGAATATGTTCCTGAGAAACTCTGCACTGAAATCAACTTCTTTCTCCACAAATTTCTCGATCTCAAGACGCAGAGGGAAACCGTTCGTGACGCCTTTGATGTTGCAAGAGAGCATGTTGTGTCAAAAGTCTCATTTCTCTCTCGGTCTGTCGACAACGGCCGGAGCTCGGGAGAGGAAAGCCCTACAGAAACAGACGGAAATCGCTGATAGAGGGAGAGGGGTTTCTATGACAAAGTACAGCCCGTCGTGGTCTTCCTGCTTCTCTCCCAAAAATCCTGATTCAAAATCGGATCAACAAACTTCATGATTCTGCTTCTATTTTTTACTTCCCATTTGTGTACTTCTTTTTATCTTTGAAGAGTTGAGTTGCAGCGTGTCAGTTTCGACACCAAATTGCTCTAAGGAATTCCTGCCTGATGCAATTCGTGTTTCCTCCAAACCTCATGATTTTGCTTTCGTTCTAGGTTCTAACTCTTCCCCGTCTCAACAAATCCTCGTTCTTTTCAATCACCGCCACGGTCTTCTCCAAAACAATCGAGTAATGGAGTCTCGTCCACTGCATATGTGACCACACCGGATCACAATACCAAGACTACTAACTATCCAACAACTCCTACTATGCATCAAAAGCATTCTCACAAGACAATCCAAGACCATTTGCAGAAGGAAGAAGTACCCAATTACTTAGCAACCACTCAGGAGGAGGTTCTATCAGAAACGAATCCTGATAACAATTTCTGCACTGAGGTCCAATACATAGAAGCTAAGGAGAGCTTTGCTTCCACAAATGTTAGTGACCGTGTCAGCTGTGTGGAAAAATCCGGTGAAAGTGCCAAAGCTAACAAGAACACTCTGGGACATTGAGAGTAAGAACACTTTAGGACATTGAGAGCAACAAAGGCTCTCAGTGAGCGGGATATTATATATGAAATAGGATTAGGCGTTTAAGCGCTTTTCAGTTAAAAAATATTTAACAAGATGACTCTCAGGAGTAGTTTGATTATAAAACTTGCATTTAGATTGACGTGAACAACTTGAGTCAATAAACTTTAACGGTATTTTAACGGATGGTGAATTTTAAAAAATAAAATCTCATTGATACAATAAGTTTTAAAAGTTTTAAAAAATTATTATAATGAGTATAAAAGAATTGATAAAAAGTGATGATGGATTTTATACAATTTCCTTTAAAATTAAATGGCTACTCCTGCATCATTCTAATCATAAAGCAATGGTATAACACCAGGGTTAGGGAGCCCATTACCGAATACCGACACCAGAGAGTGAAAGGAAATGCTAAACAGCCACGTACTCTCGTTAGCAATCACTCCTTTGTTAACGTGTCATATGCTTCCCATGCAACATGCCAGCATCGTCATCAGTATCACCTCCCGTTCGTAAGTATAAACATCGGAAGTCCCATCGCCGCCTCACTTCGTCTCTCTCTCTCTCTCCATCTGTATCTATCTATTTATCTATCCATCCAATAACGCAACCATGTATCTGTATCTGATACACAAGTTCATGAACATAGTGGCTCCTCCTACCACCCTTATCACACTTATCCTCTTCTTACCACCCTTTCTGGTTTTCAAGTGTTTCTTTTACATTTTTAGAGCGATTTTCAGTGAAAACGTGGCGGGCAAGGTTGTACTCATAACCGGCGCTTCCTCAGGCATCGGCGAGGTTTTGTTCTGTGTATTCCAATTAGTGTGTTGAATAATTGAATTGAAAGATATTAATATCTCATCTCATTAAACTTGATTTTTATTTTAAATTTCTGACGTTGTTATGTGCATGGGATTGCCACAGCAACTTGCATACCAGTATGCAAAGAGGGGAGCTCGCTTATTACTGGTTGCTAGGAGGAAAAACTGTCTTCAAGAGGTTGCGGAGAAAGCTCGTGGGTTTGGCTCTCCCGATGTTGTTGTGGTCCAAGCGGATGTTTCCAAGGTCGACGATTGTAAGCGATTCGTTGATGAAGCAATCAGTCATTTCGGCAGAAGTATGTACAGTATAAACCATGCATGAACACAGGAATTTCTCTCTGCTCTCTATTTTCTTCCCGGTCCCGGAGGTGAAATGCAAATGCCAAAAGGTTTGCCTTTTGCCATGCATATTGCCTCCTCTTATGTATTAATAAATAATTAAATAATGCTTTCGCTTGACATGTACAGTGGATCATTTGGTGAGTAACGCTGGTATCGCATCGGTATGTATGTTTGAAGATTCCAGTGATATTACCAAATTTGCACCTATTATGGTAATCCGTCTATCCACCTATTTCTTAATTTTGCTTTCTTGTTATTTTTGGTCCTCTCATCTCATTCCTTCCTTATTTGTAATTCTGTTTCCAAGCCCACCTGAAATTAAACCGGGTCCAGTGAAAAGTCCAATGATCAGAGTCCATAATCGAACCAGACCAGCTCTTCAGACTTCAGTTACGAACCTAGTAGCTAGCCTTAGGATAGAGCTAAGAGCTGCAAATGGTATCCCATCGAGGGTGATCCGATCGTTTAGTGGATTGGTTATGGATCCACCCTATATTTGGTTTTAAAAATATAGGCATGTGTATTTGTATCCCACTATAATAAAGTTGATTTAAAATGTTGTGTTAGTGGTTCAAGCTTCAAATGTGTAATTTTTAATTAATTTTGTTCACAAAATGTTTGAATTTGAATTAGATTTGATGAATTGATGTCGTGGTGGGGCCACGGCAAATACATGGAAATTGGAAGCTTATGATTCACGGTTTTAGCCCGGGCTAAAACCAGTGAAGTGGGATATTATTATTATAGGCTTAAGCACTAAATTAAAGCAGAGAGGATTGGCATTCAAGATATGGAAATTCATCCCTTTGGACCCGTAGATTATTAATGCAGAAACAGAAACTCTTTGAGGATTGGCTTGGGTTGATGTCTTTTTTTGTGTGTGTGTGTGTTTGCAATCAACTTGAAAGGACACAAACTTTTGGGGATCAGTATATACCGCGTATTTCGCAGTTCCTCACCTGAGGAAGAGCAAAGGCAAGATCATAGTAAATGCTTCTTCTGCTGGATGGTTGCCCTTGCCTAGAATGAGTGTTTATAATGTAAGTTGTCTTCTTTTCTTTCTTGGTCAGTTGGTTGGGGGGGNGGGGGTTACAAGTTACAACTGACAATTAAGTTAATAACATGCAAGCAACTTATTGCAGGCAAGCAAAGCGGCAGTGATAAACTTCTATGAGACACTGAGAGTAGAATTGGGGCGAGATATCGGAATAACGATCGTGACACCAGGGTTTACAGAGTCGGAAATGATGCAGGGAAAGTTCCTAACGAAGGAAGGGGAAATGCAGGTGGATCAAGAGATGAGAGATGTTGAGGTTGGCACATTCCCGGTGGAGAAGGCGGAGGGGTGTGCCAAGGCAATCGTGAAGAGCGCGTGCAGGGGAGACCGCTACTTGACCCAACCGTTGTGGTTCAGGGTGATGTTCGTGTGGAAAGTAGTATGTCCCCATGTGCTGGAATGGTTCTATCGCTTGCTCTACGTCACCCCCCCTGGAACTTCTCAGAGGGACGCACCTTCCAAGAAAATCCTCCATCACACAGCTGCCAACAACTTGCTCTACCCGTCTTCCATACAATCGCTTGAAACCAGGGCCGATTGATTGATTAAATTCCCAAGTTTCGAGCTAGGCTGCTGATGATGTTCGAGTTACTCATGGCTCTTCATTTGGACACTACTTATAATATTAATTAACTAGTCAGATGTTATATAAACATTACATTGCTAAGCAAGCAAACTCTATTAGGGGTACAAGATCTTTAATTAGAAGACAGATATGTACCCTTACCCTATTTGTGGGTACTAATAGCGGGTGCAATGCAAGTACCCTAATGAGCTATTAAGGTCTAATAGCACAACTTTTCTTCTTTCTTTTGTCAACAAAATACTTTTCTTAATTCAATATCATTATGCCTTAAAAAATATTTGCTTTTAAACTTAAATTTTTTAACATACATGTATCACATTTATAGATACATAGTTGTGTGGGCTATGATTCCCTTGGGTCTCCCTGTTCCACCCTGAGTTGGATTAGGATGATCAAGGCTTCAGCCTTAATCCAACCCAAAGTTAAAAGTAGGATTTATATTTTATACTTTTCAGCCCTAATTTTAATCCATTCGAGCGGGGGTGAAGTTGCAGCCCTACAAACTTCGCAGAGGTGGTGGATGAATAAAAGACTGGGATTGGGAGAGTTTATTGTCAGACTCAATGTTTTCGAAATTAAATGATAGTTTTGGCCGTTTTTTTTTTTTTTTTTTAAATATTTTTACTTTTTGTCAGAATGGGTTCAGACCATTCGACTTGAAAACCGGTCCCCAAAACGATCCCTATCGAATCCGGTTTTAAAATCCTTTCAGACTTGTTGGTTCGAATTCGATATCCCCCTTTATAACAAATAACATTGAATGCAGTGCACCGATCAGCCATTTCTAGTAACAGTCACAAGACTCACAACCATATCATCCCAAATTCCCAGTGGCTTTCTTTTTGGTAAACCATCTCACTGGTTATTATTGTTAGCATTTATTTGGAGCTAATAGACTCCAGACACTTGTCGGTCATTTTGTATCCGTGTAGGTATTGACCCCATGTTTGGAAACCATGTGGATTTCGATGGTGATGGACTGAGGTATATAATCATTAAGAATTTAAATATAAATATGTACAATATAAATATATACAAAATAAAATAAAATATAAGGCTTTGCACTTTATATATTTGTATATGTACTCCAAACTGAGTTTAAGGGAGTTCAGATATGCACCCCACACAGTGTCCTATCCCCGTCATGTATTAGAAACAACTCCCAATGACGATATCATCAAAACTGGTATTAGCATCTGTGGGACGTTGTGGGGCAGAAGCGTTTAGTTGTTTTCTTTGTTGCCCGTTTCAAAAATAGATTATTTTTCAGAAACATGGTTTTGATTGATTCTGTATATGTTTTTTTTGTTTTCAAAAATAAAACAAAAAAATATGTTTTAAGATCAGGTTTTAAAAATATGTTTTTATCTGATGTTTTTCAAAACAAAAACAATTTATTTTTCACTTTCAACACAAGAAAAGAATTCCAGAAGATATTTTAACAGTGGGGCAGAGAGGAATTTTTCAACCTCTGATATAGTAATATCATCCCACATCCAGTTAGGAGTGGGGTTCAAAGTATTAATAGGATATGCTCGATATGGAGCGTATCGTATCATATCTTTTTTGAAAAAGATACGGTCCAAAAAATTTTTTAAAAAACTAAAATTAAAAAAAAAAAAACGAAAAGAAAAAAAGAGTTTCGATACTTTGAATCTTAGTACTTGGGGCTGATGAATAGGCGCTGTCAAGTACTCTGTCAACCAGTTTACAAGCTTTAATCAGCATGCGAAATGCGAACCACTTTAAATGTCCACCCACCAACTGTTTGGATTAGAAGCCACCTGCAACTCACAGTTAGCACATATATACAGGCAGGGGCAGTTGGGGTAATGACCTATGTGCCTTTATTTGCATCAACCTCGGTTGGTGACTTTATTAATATCTTTCTTTAATGTATATTTAGTTATTTAGCTCATATCCATCCACTATACTTTTTTAATTAAGTCGATCAAAAGGATTTCCCATCACATACCAAATGTTACTTATTATGATTGGGGTCCAGCAGGGGTATGAAACTATGAATATGATTGATTGATTAGCAATCCTCCATGTATATTAATTTGATCGATGACAGGTAACATCTAGCTTTCCATGAAGTAACAAACAAACATAGAGACAATATTAGATAAATTTTAATGAAGTTAATAAGACGCACTGACGCAGGGCAGCTGGGAAACTATAATAGCACCCCAACACGAATTAGTTGGAGCCTGGAGGTGGGGTTTCAATATTTCAGTATCAGATTCAGTTCTACCGGCATTCTAATTCTAATTAATCACCTATCTATCTCTATAAAGTCAAACAAACCTACCCATTTCATTGAAGAGTCTTCAATTTCCAGGTCGGATCCAATGTTAGCTGCATTTGTTTTTGCTCTTTTAATGCACTATATTTGCTAAGGTGGCCGAGATGCTGCCCTCACGGGAATGCCCCATTATATCATGCTCACGGTCACGGAGCCCTTAAATGTTAAATCATAAACCAACCCCTGTTTAGTGAACATTGCTAAAGTGTGGTCTCGGGTTTACGCACTGGAATATCTGAGCAGTATTCCGTCACAAATGGCGACGATACTAGAGCTAGTAACGGGCGATTCGCTCAGTAGCTAGCTAGTTCAGTAATCAGTACTCAGTAGTCAGTAGGTTGGGTTGGGTGGGTGGGTGCATAGCATCAAGCAAAGCATGGCACCCATCCATTCTTACTCTTCCACGATCCCTCCTCCTTCCCTCTTCTGTTGATAATTTATTACATTTCTATTTGGAAGCTGGCCTGGATCCTCTTGCATTTGCATTTCCGACCAATCACAGCCCCATCTCCCCCTCAGCTATTGAATCGTGATCAATTGCGAAACAGATTAAGGAGATTCAGGGCGGGGGAGATGGAGAGCTATGAGGTGGACTACTGTTGCTTTTCCGTTGTGGTTTATGTCTTTAATTTTGTTATTGTTTTGTGTTATAGCAGAGCCATGAACCTGATACACAAGCTCATGCACTTGTTTCTTCCTCCCCTTATTCTTCTCACTTCGTCTTTCACCTTATCTCTTGTAATCCTGTTCAACTTCATCTATTCTTTCTTGAGACCAGCCCTACCCATAGAGAACATGACAGGAAAAGTTGCTCTCATCACTGGAGCTTCTTCGGGGATTGGAGAGGTTCTTGAATCTTGACCGCCATCCATACTTGTTCTGTCTTCTTTTCTTTATCGTGTTTTTTCCATCTTAAATTTGATTCTTTTAATTAGTTGAGTAATGTTAAAAAGTTTTGATCGATCATACAGCACATTGCTTATGAGTATGCCAAGAAAGGAGCTTCTCTGGTCCTTGTGGCGAGAAGGGAGAACAGCCTCCGAGAAGTAGCTAGGAAGGCTGTTCAGCTGGGCTCTCCTGATGTTCTGGCTGTTCCTGCAGATGTCTCCAAGGTCCATGAATGCAAGAAATTTGTCGAAGAAGCCGTGAACCACTTCGGTCGATGTAAGTGACAGACAGAAATATATACATGGGGGAGTGGGGGGGATGATTCATGATACCTGTTTCAACTTTCAACTCAACTATACTTATAGGAGATTTACTATGTATAATGCTATTGAAGAGTCTGATAATGAATTGCAGTGGATCATCTGGTGTGCAATGCCGGGATCATCAGCTTTTGTGCATTCGAAGACATAACCGGTATTGGGAATTTCACACCTCTGATGGTAATAATTAATTATTTATGTCTATTCACAATAACCCTCCTCTCTCTTTCTCAATCTCTGTCTCCGTGTGTGTGTGGGCGTTGGTGCAAAACTGAGTGGGAAAGTTTGTGTGTGCCAATCGTATTCTATAGGATATCAACTTTTGGGGATCAATTTATACCACTTCGTTTGCAATTCCTCACCTCAAAAAGACTAAAGGCAAGATCATCGCCAATGCTTCATCTTCGGGCTGGTTGATCTCACCAACGTTGAGTTTATATGGTGTAAGAAAATCTTACGAAGACCATTTCTATTCCTCAATTGTATTGGGTTCAGTCTTTTAGTTTATTTTTTTCTCCTTCAGCTCAGTTGTATTTTAATTTATTTAATCTTCTCCTTTTTTTTTCCATTGTTTCGAACTGAATATCGTTTCTTGCATGTATTTTTTGCTGGTTCACAGGCAAGTAAGGCGGCAGTAATAAACTTTTACGAAAGATTGAGAAAGGAATTGGAACCTGATGTGAAAGTAACTATTGCTGCTCTTGGGTTCATAGAATCGGAGATGAGCCAAGGCAAACACCTAGACAATGAAGGTGTAGTCAAAGTAAACCAAGAAATGAGAGATGTACGTAAGATCATCCCCTTCATGATTTAATTGAGTTTTTTTTTTCTATTAATTAATTATACTCAAGGTCTTAATTAAGACATACATTACATAGATATTGATATTATACAACAAAGAAAGAAAAAACAAAAATTAAAAGAATGGTTGTTGGTGTTGGGGGTGGGGCAGGTATCAATAGGCATACTCCCAATTCTGAGTGTAGGGAAGTGCGCAGAATCCATAGTGAACAAGGCATGCCGAGGAGAGAGGTACGTGATAGAGCCACCGTGGTTCAAAGTATTGATACTCATCCAATTCCTGTGCCCAACGTTGTTGGAATGGGCGGTTCACTTCCTTTATGTAACCAAGTCGGGTACGCCTGTCACAAATGCACGAAACAAGAAAATTTTGGACGCAATCGGTGGCAAGAAGTTCCTGTATCCTTCTTCAATCCTATCATCTCAAATAAAAAAAGATTAAATTTTCAAGCTAAGGGGGTCCTACTGACTTCTCTCTTCCTCATATCTCTATATATAGATGTTGCCTACTTGCCTCCATCATTCTATATATCTGGGTCCAAGAGCAAGAGGGTCCTCTCATCTCCTTCATATTATCCATTTTCCATATATATGTTTTGGTTGCATTTCTGTTTTGATTCTATTCTATCATATATAAATGTATAATGTTGGTATAAGAGAAAAGGGTTCGAGGTAATTTTGAACAAGTGTCAACTTAAATTACAAGATATACAATTCATTAGCGATTTGATTAGCTTTTGCCCTTTTGAAACAACAGTACAACAGTGTATGTGCAGTGGGTGCTATATATATATATATATATATATCTAAGAACATCTAATGTACATTTGGTTGGTTTACAGTCAGAATTCAGAATTGGAATGGTTTGTTCCCCTTTATCAAAATCTACGAACATCTAAGGGTACTTCTGGTTTATAATCGGAATTAGAATCAGAATAAACTATTCCCCTCACCTGTTTGGTTCATACTGAAAATCCAAACCATAATTGGATGGAATGGACTTCCATTCACAGGGAAGGGGGAGGGATCGACGAGGGAAGGACCAACCCCTCAAATTGGGGATTATCATTCCATCAGAAATGGTAATAGGATCCTAATTCCGCCCAACCAAACAGTTCAGACCCGTGTTGACTGACGTACGTTAAGGCTCAGTTATGTATGGTGCATATAATAATACACATTACAAGGTTTTGCACAAATAGGATTTCTTACTCGCTTTTCCTAAACATCATGCAATTAAGACGCTTCGTTCATCCATGTCTCCTTCTCGTATTGTTCATTTTAGTTAAAGTTCGGATCTCCTGCCCACAAGAATTCTGTCTGCGTCTATCCACATAGTATTACAGTCACACATGGAGAACATCTCATCCTTCCAGATAATATTATCCACGGGGAGATGTAAATGTGGATAGAATTCTTGTGGGCAGGCAGAGTCTTTTAGTCACTAGCCAGGTTACAGGTGAAATGGTACCACTCTAACGAGTAGAGGATCTCCACCGATTTGGAGTCAACATTTTTAAGATCTACTCAAGCAAAAATCTCTTTCTTACTCTAAAGTAAGAAAAAAAAACCATCGTTTTCCGGCCTCTTGGGTTACAACTTCAACCAACTGATCAATTAATTGTCACAGACAGAACATTTAAGGATAAGGTCTTTTCCATGCTACCGACTGAGTTGTTGTGTTTCTGACAAGTATTTAATTAAGTTTGTTATAAGCTGGGTGGTTGATAAGATAGATCAGCAGTCAGGATCTAATTCAGTTTGATACAGACCTTGGATACCTTTAATTACAAAAGTTGTATAAGTTTCCTACTTTTTCTTTATAGCCTAGGTGTCACCAGTCACCACAAGATCGTTTAAATCTCTAATAATTTGGTCATCAGGTCTTGCTGCCCACAAACGTTTTATTACACCGCTTGCCAGGGTATAGTATAGTAGGAAACTATATTAAGGCCCTGTCCCCTGTGCGATGCACATAAAAAATTAAAAATCAGAAAGCTGATTAATTTCTTTGCACCTGTCAAAGCACAGGGAAGGCTTAAAAATTGTTGCTCCAAGGGCTAGGGAATCATCCCCCAAATCCATAAAGCCCCACCACTAATGCAAACTAGATTCGACTCTAAGTCTATGCTACAACCAACAGGATACCTTAACCAATGGACACTTTGGCATGGGATGTTTAAATAAATTAATAAAAAACCTCTATTTATCATTTTATTGTTGTTCATACAATAGAGAAAACGAAGAATGGAAATAAAAACTTGAATATCTTAAAATACCTTTTGTACAAATATTGGTATGAATAAATTTTTCAAAATTTATTGATATGAATAAAATAATTTTCAAAAAAAATATGAATTTATGAATAATTAATTACTGAAAATATAAACAATTTTCAGTAAGTTGGATTTTTTAAGTTAACTTTCACTAAATTAAATTATCAAAAACATGAAAATTAGTTAATGTAAATTACTAAATTAAAATTTCCCAATAAATACCAAAAGCCAATTTAAACTACCAACAATTATGGAAATTATTAATAATTATCAATATTAAAATTCCCCAATAACTTTCCAATATTAAAATTCCTCAATAATTTTCCAATTACCAAAAGCCAATGTAAATGAAAATATCAAAAATTAATTTTTATTATCAAAATTAATAATTTTCTGAAATTACCTGGAAATTACTAAAATTGCTAAAATTAATTTTTTGAAATTTAAAATAAATATTTATCTAAAAATTACTGAAGTTTTCAAGAAATAATTATCAATTTCAGATAAATACTAATATATAATTAATTACATATAATAATATCAAATTAATATTTAAATATTAAAAATTTATTGTTCAAGAATTATTGATAGGAATAAATTAATTTTCAAAATTTTATACATTTATGAATAAATATTAAAAAAGTATGTATTTAAATAAATTAATATTCAAATATTTGGGAAGTTTCCACCTTTGTAACATTAGTCAAATGGGAAGCAAGGTGATGTGACCAAAGGCTAAGAGCCTGATGATATGGAAAAATGAGGGTCTTAGGTAGGGTGAAAGAAACCTCATACTAAACCCAGCTTATGTTTTTTTCTTTTAAATTGAGTTTGAATTAATAACTTTTAATTTTATTAAAATTTAATTTATTTAGTAAAGTGTTATTAATGCATAGATTAGGAGATGTTTTAGGAGAAAGTTTTAGGTGAGTGAGATAATTTAGGAGAAATTTTAGAAGAGGAGATGGTTTAGGTGATTGAGAGAGAGAGAGATTTTAGGAAGATTTGTTGTTTTAAAAATAACATGGAATAAAAATCAAAATTCAAAAAAAAAGGAGGAAAAAGTAGAGACTTCCCTATATATTTATATATATATATTGTGTGACACCCTTGTAAAATGTAGGTATATATTTATTGTGCAAGGTGCCAACTGGCTAGGAAAACTTTAGCTGACCACTAATACTCTAGTATGTCACATTACTTGAGACATTTTGAACTAATGAGATGAAAAGTTGAGTTAATAATCTCTGTTAAAATTATATTTTGTTTCTTTTTTCATGTTGGTTCTCTTTCTTTCTTCTCTGATGCTGACCAAACCAAATAGGGAGGTTGGGAAAGTTCTTTAAGAACAGGTAAAGTGAGAGACAAAAGATATAGTATGTGTTTGGTTCTATGGGCGTTTATGGATATGTTGTTTATTTGTACTTTTTCACTTGAAATGTTTATTTATACTTTTTCACTTTAAACGTTTCCTGTTTTTGTTGTTTGGTTTCAATAAACACTGGGGCGTTGGGAGAAACAAGAATTTGGCGTTTCCCCAAATGCCCCATGCACAAAATTCAAAGCATTTTAGTTTTCTACCATTTATTTGATAAATGGTGAAACCAAATTGTTGTTCCATTTTGCTTCATCTGCAATAAACGCCAATGCCTATGTAGTGCTGATGTGGTGGCATTTTTTCAATAAATGCCCATGGAACCAAACACAGCCATAGATATAAGAAAGGGAGAATTTCTTGATCTTCTTAAACCATCCATACTGTAGAAAATCTATCCTCTCGGGATCATTTTGGTGTTCTTCTCGGTGGCTTTGGTCAAATATTTTGCCTGGAAGATAGATTCAATCTTTTACCTGGCTCTTGAGATCCAGAAACCTCAAACAAAGAAACGCTACACAAAATGAAACACCTTATGCAACCACCATGACAAAATTTAAGAAAAGGAAAAACAATAATAAAGGGAACAGAGGAGAACACAAACATATAGAACTTTAAACAAGATAAAAATAGTGAAAAACACCATTGCTTTATAGCTTTAAAAAGAACACCTTGAAACACTTTGAAATGCCTTGTTGGGATTGAAATCTACAATTTCCTCAGTGAGACTAATAGATTCTAGATAGAATCTGAAATGTGAAATGAGAGTTCTTTCTCTATAGGATGCATCTACTAGGGGGAGGGGAAGGGGGAGAGAGGAGGAGATTAATGATATGACATAGCATTATGCTAGTCATACTGGACAGGCAATTCATGCCCAAAGTGGGCAGCCAAAGTTTTCCCCAATTGTGTAGCGAACTCAGCCCGGGCTCGGGCCTAAGAATATCTTTGGTAGTGAATTCAGCCCGGGCTTGGGTCGGGCTTTTACTCTTCATAAATAGGATTTTCTTAGGCCCGAGCTCGAGCCCAGCCCGACCAATGGGCCTGAGCCCGATCCTAATAAAAAGCCCGAAGCTCGACCTGTTGCCGATCTAACAGAAAGATGGTCACCGGTGTTGAGCCACGTGACTGTGTTCACGTTGATAAAGCATAGGGAGAAAGAACCCCTGTTTTCTGAAAAACCGAAAGAAGAAAAGAAAATTGAACGAGCGACCATAGGGGGGAGAGGGAGAGAGAGAGAAAACTCCTATTTAACTGGATTGGATGAATCTTGATATCCCATCAGGGTTCTCCACCGACAACGACTTTGGTAGCATCATCTTGTTTGACAGAGTGAGGGAAGAGTGAACGAACCTTGCTATGCATCACTATTTTCTACCGGCGGCGATCTTGCGACAGCGATCTCGTTCGACAAAGTGAGGGAGGAGCAGATGAAGCTCGGTATTCCATCAGCCTTCTCTACCAATCGTGATATTGCTTGGCTAAGGGAGGAAGAAATTTGAGAAACCAAGAGAAGAGAGAACTAGGGTTCGGCTAAGACTAAGAGAAAGAGATGAGTGAGAAGAGAGGGGTTAGGATATTTAGGGTTAGGGTTTTTGGTTTAACCTAAAGGTCAAACCGGGCCGGGCTCGGGCTGAGCTATTTTGACAATTCCCGAGCTCGACCCGAAATAAGTTCGAGCCGGGCTTTTAGGCCCGAGGTCAAGCCCACAGGCTCAAATCTGTGTTCAAGCCCGTCCGGGGGCCGGGCCATCGGGCTACCCGGCCCATGAACAGGTCTAGTCTGACTTTACCAGGATTGGGGATTAAGGGTTTGGGGATGGACTACCCAGGTTGTTTAGCCCCATGATGGAGACAAAAAAGTTAGATGTATTTATTGTTGTACCTTAACACAAGTGTAGGTATCCCATGAATCTGAATATGATAGTTTCTTGCTCTTTTTTTTTTTACTATTTTGGATAGGGTAAATTGTTGAAGCCTCCCCTAAAGTTTGGTAATTACGATCACCTATCCTGAACTTTTTGGCAATTGCAAGTAGACCCCCTCTGTTATAATCTTCTAACAAAATGCATGAAAATATCCAAAATACTCGTGCAATCACTATTGAGACTGGTTTCTACAAGAAAAAAAAAATACAAACTTTATAAACAACAAAAAAAAGGAGAATTTAAAGTTGTAATTTTACCTGTGTTATTGATATGAAGGGCAAATTTAGAAAATAAATCAATTTCAGAAAAATTTGGAAAATAAACAATTTGGTCAAAAATACTTGTATGGATATTTTGAACATTTTCATGCCTCTTTTTAAAGGATTCAAATAAAAGGGATCTACTTACAATAATATTAAAAAGTTTAAGAGAGATTATTAAAATTAGCAAACTTTAGGGTAAGTTTTAACAATTTACCCTTTTGAGTTTGAATATAAGAATCCAAATTCTAAGTTAGTGGTTTACACAAATTAAGAAAGAATGAAAGGGGAAAGATAAAGAACATTCATTGTGACCTAAACAAATACAGTTGGGTTGGTCTGGTTGGTACTAAGGGTAAAGGCAAGGGATGAATGCTGTCGATTATGTGAAGTGGAGAGAGGAACTGATTGAATATTTTATTCCTTATTTTTTGGCATTATATAGCACACATTAAAGAACCCCGAGAACTCTGTGATGGGGACAGAGCAGAAGGTCCACCGACCTAACTACGGGAACATGGAGAACTTGTGGGTACAGGTGTAGAATTCCCTGCAAGCAAAGATTTTGCACGCTGTGAAAGCATGAAAATGCAACCATACATTAAATGAATTTAACATACATATTCGAGAAGATATTATCAATGTGCCGCCAAATAAAAAGACCCTCAGTGATTTTTTAACACGAATAAAATATCAAATCAAACCGTTATGTGATTCAGAAGGAGAAGGAGGTCTCGGGTTTGTCCTAAACCAGTGTGGTTGCAGAAAACATAAGTGTAGATGTGAACGGTAGGAGATCAGCCTCGCAGGGAGAATACATTTCCTATAACCACCGTCGCAGTATAAACCCGAGACCCGTGTGATTTTTAAGCACGCCAGTGTTTTAATCCGATACCAACTTGACATGATATTTTATCGTTTTCACCGAACACTGGTGTATTCTAAAATCACGGGGAATCTCGGATTTATAATGCGATCGTGGTCGCAGAAAATGTGTTCTCGCTCGCAGGTCCACAAGTTTGGTCCCCCACCTCCATAGTCAATGTGACGTCAAGTAACTATAGCGCAAAGGTTGTGTATAATTCAAGTTTTTTAAAATCGAATCCGACAACGAATCAGCCAGGGGTTCCGGGTCGAATGGTCTGATTATTCGAATCGAATGGACAGTTCATTCTTAAAAAAAATAAAAAATAAAAATAGTCAAACCGTTGAATGGTTTGACCATCCAAACCAGTGATTTGCTGATTAAATCAACGGTTTTTAGTAAAATAACGGTTTTAGAGTAAAACGGAACCTGTCACCTGACTGGTTTCCAGTTTTTCCAGTCTGACCATTCGGTCCGGTCCAGTTTTTAAAACTATGATATAATACTCTGGAAATTCTTGTACAATTATCTTTCTCTTTGTGACAAAATTAAAGGGAAAATTCCTCGAATTTTAAAGCACGACAATTTAGTACTAGAACTTTCAAAACATGCCAATCCAATGTGTACCGTTAACTAGTCTGTTAATCAACCATTGAGTGACATTTGAAAAGTCACAAATGCCCTTTGAGTGTCATCTAATTCCTTTTATCAACCATTCAAACGTTGATTAAAAAATGAACAGTATCAAATCCTTGTCTCTTCTAGGAAAGTTGGGGTTGCCAAAATGCCCATTATGTTAAAACCCAAGGTTCTAGGAAACCAAGGTTTTGGCCACCAATTTCCAGGTTGATGGTTCGATCATTCGATTCAAATGGATGGCCCATTCCAACAAAAAAATTAAAATAAAAATGGCCAAAACCGTTGAACGAATTGATAGTTCGACCACCCAGATCAACGAACCGCTAACCAATTCAACGGTTTTTGAGCAAAAAGAGAACTAATTACCTGAACGACTCTCAGGCCAAACAGTTCAACCGTCCAGATAAACGGCAGTTCCAAAACATTGTTAAAAACATTAAAAATATTAAAATTGTCAAATTTAGCATCTAACTTTTTCATTGGCTCATATTTTTATTTCATGTAGTTTTTGTACAATAGCCTATTACCTGTCAATTGTCTAAAGCAAAGAAGAAAGAAAGAAAAAAAAAAAAAATCGTTAGATTAAGAGGAAGGATGGAAGGCAATATGGTCAGCATCCATGATGAACTCTAAGGCATTACATTAGGAAAATAATAATGCAAACTTCATGGACCTAGCCCAGTTGAACAAAGCATGCGCCACACAGTTTATGTCTGTTGATATGCCTAAAGGATTTGGCTTGCCAGGTGGATATTGGCTGCCTGATGTCAAAGAGGATATTGCCTTTCACCTCAACATTGGTGGCTCTCATGCAAGACACCTCTTACGCAGCCCACACAACTCGCACGAGCTTCGGCGCCTTCCACAGAAATGCAAGATGCTGGGATGCCTCTTGCAGCTAAGAGGCATATGCCACGCATTTATGCAATTTACAAATGCTAAGAGGCATTGGCATTTACATTTTGAATTCTTTTACTCAACTTTAAACTTAAAGATTAAAAGTTTTGAACGACCATCCTTTGCATCATTCATATTATATGATAATATTAAAAATTTAATATATATATATATATAGAGAGAGAGAGAGAGACTAAGAGGATTCAAGTTGGGTTAAGTTGCCCAAATTACATCCAACGGTCCCAATTCACGTCAGCGGTCAGCTTCATATTTTTCAACTCCTTGTCCCTTGACACATATAAGCGTAAAAAGACCTAATAAAACCTTCCCTGATATTTCACATTTTCACCTAAATACTGAACCATCTCTTCACTTTTTAAATTGGACTCCCCTCTTTATTTACTTGGTTGTGTCTTACATTGACACAAATCTCTCTCACTGATCAAAGGCATCCTTGAACAGAGGACATTGTTTATAAAAGAAAAATCCATTATTTTAGCTTTTTCAACATTTTTTTGTAAGCATATACGAACAAATGTGATCATGCTACTTACCATTTACAGTTAGATTTCTGATTTCAAATTATTTTTAATTAATTTACAAGCATAAAGATAGGAGGATTAGTGGATAGATACAACTCCATTGGTGGTCAAGTTATCTTTGAAGGGCCTACTTTTATCTCTCTTCTCTTTTAATATAACATCTTGTTATCCTTCAAGAAAAACGTTGACGATGAATGCTACCACATTTCGAACCGAACTGAGACAACCGGTTCGACAGATACACATCAACCGTGTCAAGTAAATAAACCTTCAAAAAAAGATGAAACAATGAATTTACAAGTTGTTAACTTTTAAGATGATACAATCATACATCTTGATTGACAACATTAAAAAAAAAAAAAGCATTAATTAAAATATAATCAAGAGTTGTCTCTCTAGGGTATGGATAGAAGTGATAATAGAGGCGAGTATCATATAGCAAGGGTCAGGATGACATGATGAATTGATGTTGATGATGAACTAATAACTCTTAGTCAGTTGGCATCACCGCAAAATAGGAGGTGCAGGATCAAATCAACGGAACTGCAGGCACTATGTGGTATGGCCAGTGGGCCACACATGCATCCTGTTCTGGTCCCACCCCTGACTCTCTTGTAATGCCATCTAGTAATATATACCAACAAAAAGAATCAGAAGAATATCAAGGGCCAGAATCATTTTCCAGTTATCCTCAACGATGATGATGAGCGGAGGTCCATCACTCTTGTTTCGCAGACGGTTTCCTTTTCATTTGTATGATGGACCACATCAAGCAACTCTGATGCAATATAATAAACTGGAATCATAATTCATAAATGGTCCCAACCGTTTAACGTAGTGTAAGGTCTTATTGTCAGTGTCAAACTGTCAATGTTTACCTGAGTTTGGCGGTTCAAGCGTAAGAGCCAGTGACTGATGAAAAGGCCTAAACGGTCGACACCTTGTGAATGAATGGATTCAGCTCAAGTCCGGAAGTACTCAATCGGCTGTCACAGAACTTGGGCCTCCACAAACCTTTTACAAACATAAATTGTACATATTTTGGAGTCAAGGAGATAAATTTATCGGATCTGAACGGGGATACCGTGGGGTTTGAGGAGTTGCAGAGGTCTTCAGTCTTCTTAGAAGCAACCATGCATCAGATTCTGAACACCCCTGATTCATCTCAAGGACAACTGGTAGAGGGGATGTTTTGTTTATTTCCACAAGCATAGTACCCTAGAAGAAAACAAGACACGTTTTCATTAATGTAGTAGTTGGAAGATAAACTAACCTGTTTAGAAAGATTTACGCCCTTGTCCTCTTTCTACAGGGCATTTGTTAAGGCTATGTTTGGTTTGAAGGAAAAGGTATTTCCCTACCATTCCCTTCCTTTCCCTACTTTTTCCTTCAAACCAAACACAACCTAAATATTCTTTTCTGGAAAGGAAATTCCAGTTAGACATCTGCCTCAAAATTAACGAGTATGTAGAAAGTAATTACCTCAAACTTTGATAAGAAAAGCTGGTATCGTTTCATGGTCTCTTTCATATCATTAACTATTTTATTATCTGAAGAAGAAAGAGCAGTAGTTACTTCCTCAGGTGAATGACCGATACCTTTTTGTACAACCTGAAAAATAGATTAGTCCATTTGGCCAACAATTAGGCACAGAGTGTAAAATGATACAAGAGAAATTTTCAAGATTAAAACTCACAGAATGATCAACAAGGATCTCTGAAATGAGGCTACCATCATCAACATAGACCAGAAGCTCAAATGCAGACCTCTGTTTAAATTGGAATCTCTTTACACCAGTCAAGAAGCACTACATCAATTTTTATAAGTGTGGATCAGTACCATAAATGCTTTATCACAGAACTGTACTATTAATATTATATGAGCTTCGTTCCAGAAATCCACTATAAATCATGCTAAACTAAAAACAATATTCAAATAAGATTTAAAAGAAGCAGAAATACATGTGAACAAGGTTGAAAATATCGATACGCCCGATACGCGGGTATGGGCGTATCGAGCAAACCGATACAGCTGTTGGTGCTTTTTTTTATTTTTTTTTTCGCAACTGGTTCAGAGGAGCCGGTTTAGGCCTCCTCCACACCCTGAACCGTCAGACCCCCGATACACCCACTGCAGGGGCATATCGGAGGGGTACCGGAACGATACGTATCGGCCGATACGGGCCGATACGTGTCGATACTTTGAACCTTGCATGTGAATAAAGATATCTAGAACCAACTTGTGAGCTGATCTCTCTCTCTTTGGAGGATTTTCAAATGGGTTTAATTTTAAAAAACATAATTAGAATATGGAAACCTCAACTTTTGACACACCTGAATCTAATTCAAAATTCTTATCTAGACTGCAACTGAAACAACATATAATACCAACTAAACTGTATGTAATAATAAGCCCCCCCCCAAAGAAAAAAAAAAAAGCATGTCAAATTTGAATAATTAATACGTGCTTGACCACAAAATTTAAACACTGATATCTCTTTGGATGACTGTCTCTTTGTGTTATCTCTTCAACCTTACTCTTGGATTTCAACCTATAAATAGTCTGATCTTACCTATAAATTTTGGAGATTGCTTCCATCTAAAGCATTTTTTGTTGTATATTCAATATCTATATTAATGAAGCAAATTCAGATAAAATTCAAAAACCTGAAAATCCAATAGGATCCAAATCTGATTAAAGTCGCTCTTAATCTGATGAACCCCTCCAACCAAGAGAAATTAAAATGATAGATACCTTAATTTTTCCTTGAACAAAGAATGCTTCAACATCCCTTGCAGCCCACTTTGCCAACAAACTAGCCAAATATGTGAAAGGCACTTCTCTGTCACCTGTCAATATAACAGGGTGTTCCTCTTGACAAACTGTATGGATTCCCTCATTGCATGAAACCACATTTTGGGATTGAATAGATATAGCATCTGGGCTCCTATCAGGAGGAGGAAACTCTTCCACAGAATTTTCTCTAGTAATACTGTTCGGCACAACTAAAGCAGCAAAGTCCTCTGTTGTTCCTTCTCGGGTGACACTGGTATGTACAGACAAAACAGCATCTGGAGGTGAACTAGATTCAACAACAATTGGCCTACCATGTGGGGCAGAAGACTCCTCCCTTGTACTTTCTCTTCCAACACTGCTAGGCACAGATAAAGCATCACCTATAGAAATTATCCAAAAAAAAGCATCACCTATGGAACATGGGATAGAACAGGAAAGAAATTGAGTAATCCAAAGAATAATTTCATCATTTAATTATGAACATATAATCATGACAGCAATAATCAATATCCATTTTACTAATAAGAAATCAATTGAGGTGCAATTTCTTCATTTATAGGTCCTATACAAAGCTTATCCACCTTCACAAGCCTACAACCAAAATCAGAGAAAGAAAATATAAGAAAGCACAAGATTCTGTGTCCCTCAAATTAAATTTGCTTATTTAGAGTTTCTGCACTCTACACCAACTAATAGCATCAGCTCAAGATTTTTTAATGGGTAAGCTTGCATTTATGCTTTTCCTATTAATTTAACCATGATTCTTCAATATTTCCCAAATGCCTACATGGCATACATGGTTGAATAGGATCTTGCTAAAAATAAACTACAAAAATCATGAAATGGGAAGCCCATTCAAACATTGCATTTTCAAAGATCCAGTTGCCAGGTTGAATTTTTCATATTCACATCAGGCATCTTAGAACTCAGAGTTCCATTCTTCCTCTTGAAGGTTTGGTCTATGTTTCATGAATAGAAAGGCAAAAATAATTTGTTAACAAAACATATCAAATTGCTGATATAGGAATCTATGGAAGGGGAGACAAGGAAAAATGTCATCTCTCTCTTATTTCTTAAATTCCAAAGGACAAGTGACTTGAAGTTTTGAGCAAATACAATTATGACAAAGGTTTCTTATTCATAGTTCATTAATCTTACAGACATGAGAAATGAATAGAAGTCAGAACGTGCATAAACAATAAATAGTAGTATGGTAGACATTTATGGGTAAGCATATCTCATATTCTCGTTATAGAAAGCATTATATATTCTCTTTATATTAATGGAATTTCCTTTCACTGATAAAAAAAATGCCTTATATAGTTGACAAGTACATCATACCCTGTTGAGATGTTCGAGAGGTTGCAACCCTTGATGCTGAATTGGTAGCATGACCAGGCTCATTAACATTATTGGATGGCCAAGCAGCAAGAGTAGCTCTAGTTGCCAAAGAAGGAACTGCCCCTGTCCTTGTTCTGCATTAGTAAAGGACAAATTAAAGGCAGCTTTGTTCATTAAAGAGGAAAATCAAATGGGACTAACTTCAACCGGCCATCCAAGGATTATGTTTCATTAACATCTAAATCAAATAAATGAAATTTTAGATGATCTTGCTAAGGTGGTAAATTTTGTTTTTCTTTTTCTTTTTCTTTGGGGGGAGGGGGTATGGAGTGGCATTTATACCCTTTAGAGCTTTTACGGTGTTTCCTTCAACAACTTGAACAGCCTCACCCAATAAAGCAGTCATGAGGTGTAATATAATTAACTTTGACCAGAAAAGCAATGTCTTCTAGATAGAACACAGATTTTTGCTCATTATTTTTCCAAGACCATATCTCCATACAGAATACCCCTTTTCTCAAGATCCATATATCCATCTCTATGCAAATCTCTCACTGTTTTCAGAACCTTGCACTTACAAACTTATTATTGCATCCACATGGAGCCCAAAACCACACCTTTAATGACAGGTCTAAATAATGTTTTGCAAAGATAAACTATGCCACCAGAGTCATGTAGATTGTGGAGAAACTATGGTATTTTTTCGTGCTGAAAGAGGATGGACTCGCATATCGACATAGTGACATGGAAGAATGTCCTAAACCACAGACATGCATGTACACTTCCGCCTCTAGAATAACTGTGGCTACCTATCGCAGCATCACAATGGTGGCTGGGTCACTAACCGCGGCTGGTCACTATTGTGATTGGAAAACAATTGTGATCCCCACGGATAGAAAGCAAGATCACTGTACAGCATGAGCGCTCTGCACAAGCTTCCAACAAGTGACACATGGTAAGATCATGAAGGGGTAATAACAGTAGCTTGTGTAGACCAGTAGTTGGTATCCACTTTGCAATCCAATGTGTGTCCCCATTGAATCAGATTAGGGATCTCTGCCTTAGGAAAGTTCTAAAATTCTTTATTCCATGCAAGCATAGGCATTCCGCTTCACCTATAAATGGAGACCCCTTCTTTGTAGGAGGGAAACCCTTCACTAGTTCCCTTCCTTAGCCTTCCCAAGTTCTAAAACCCTAATCCTTCTCCTCACTACTCTCCTCAAGTTACTAGTGTAAGCATGGTGAACTCCAGTATGCTGGCCGGACTCCGAAAGCCTGGAGAGAATGGCTGTGGTTGCAGAGAGATAGAGGAGAGTGAGAGAGGGAGGTGAGAGGAGGAAACATAAAATCTGGGTTTCCTTCTCCATAATGGTTCCATTATGTGTATGTGTGTTAATGGGTCTCCATATGGGTATGGACCCCTATTTATAATGTTTGGGACCTCCATATTCAGGAATGTTCTTGCATTTTGCTTTTGCCTATCTTAGCCTTTAATTGTTATTCTAGAAAGTTCTAGCACTTAAGTTGATGCAAATAGCTCTAATTTGGTAAACAATTGATTACTGGTGAAGTCTAACTCGAGTTTATGCCAGGTTAACCAGGTTAATGGGTAAATTCGCTGTCTTACAACTAGTTCTTTGGTTGCAAGAAACATTGCTCATAGCCATTACGAGGCAAACATAAAAAATATAATAATAAATGATGTATGTTCTAAAATATTATATATGGGTGAACTGGTGAAAGATGTTTGCTGCCAACTTAAAGAAAGAATAAATCTTATAGATGAAACTCAGAAGGATGCTCTTGATGTGTGTTGCATTGGCCACAAAATACCTTTTGCCCCTAGGTGGCTTATTCACTTCATTGACAAGCCTCTGGCGTGCCACATCCAAATTTTCAACTAATCCTCCTAGAACCTCCAAAACCTCTGGGACCAGCATCAGAAGTCCACGCCGTATGTTTACATTACGGATTACAACCTGCAAGTTACAAGAGTACTCTTTGTCAAGATCTGTCAAGCCATTAAATACACACACACACACATGAGGGTTTGGAGTGCTATTAAGAAGATTCACTCAAGTAAGAATAAACCTACCATTGAATTGGTTAGACAATTATAACCATCCAAGTTTCCCACAATTTTGGGATAATTCACCATTGTCCCTTGTTGTTCAAATGTGAGAGAGTCAAACCCACAGAAAAAACTCATAATTTTAATCATCTGATCAGGTAAACTCTTATAGGAGATCTCAATTGCAAACAGCAGTTAAAGACTTCAGGTTATATAACAATAAAACTCCATTTTCCAAAACTTGGCTAGTTGGCTGGACATCATACGAGATTCACATTGCAAATGCATTTTAAGAGTTCTACAATTCCAAATCTGTTGCAGTCTTTATGAATCCACGATGTCTGGCACCTGGGATAAGAGTTTTATGCCAAGACAAGTTTAACCGTCCTCATTAGATAGATTGAAGGGTTGGACCAATCTACTTCCAGGTGCACCATACTTTCAGATTTTCTAAATGAGAGCACAAATATCCACCACATGCAAACAGCATGAACTAAAAAAAAAAAAGTCAAATATCAGAATTGTAAACAGATTAAGTAAAACTATGTCCCCAACCTTGAATCCAGCAGGAGACAGAACCTCAAGGTCTTTAATGGGCCTATATTCCATGCCAAAAACACGTTGGGAACCATCTGTCATGGACAACTTGAGGCATCTCTTAACCCCGGAAGGTGCATTCTGGTACCTGTCTCGAAGAGGACAACTGATATTAACTATCTCGTCAACCTGGGGGAGAAAACTGCTAGAAGTCAGAAGACAGAAATATCTCCTAATTAACGATTATGATTTCGTACAAGCATAATGTGCTCTAGTCTAGTGATCTTATATCAGAAACGTCGGCCAAATGATACTAGGATATTGAAATGTAACCATTTCCAGTATTTCATAATTAAGTCTTCTAATTTGATCCATGAGATGTTCCAAACCTCCACGGCAGAACCAAACCAATAGTTGTGTTCTAACTCGGTTTGAATAAGCGATGAGTGTAAAATGAGAAAAAATAATGAAAATCTGTATTGAATGTTCTAAATATTGTTTTGTAAAACAGTTCTAAAACTAGAGATTCAAATAAAAGTAGCATTTAATCTCGAACATGAAACGTAAAGGCACCAAAAGTGAAAAGTAGCTGACAGAAACCTGCAAAACAAAGGGCCCCGCCAAGTCAACAAGATGCATGGAATGCACATTTTCTGGAAGAACCCTAGCGCCGGAATAGTTCATGTCTGAAAAGAGGAACTGCTCAAAACAAAGTTTTGCCTTCGCAGCCACGTTAAGACTCCCAAAATCGGCGATGGAGCCCTGAAGAACTGAAATGCAGGCATCTAGCCATTCACTCCGCAGCCTGAGCCCTAGCCTCCGAAGGAAGCAATCTACCGGACAGTCAGATACTGTGCCAGTTTCTGGTCGTCTTTCATCGTTTGCTTGAGAAGAATTGTTGAAAACCGGCGGTGGAGGAGAAGGAGAGAGATTCTCGGGAACCTCGACGAAGTCATCATCGGAAATTTCAAGGGGAAAGTTTTCAGAAGAAACATGAGCCAGGTTAGAGTTAGGGTTAGGAGTAGGATTTGGGGAATCGAGTTCGAGTATGAGATTTACAGGAGGTGAAACGGCTGGCTCTAGGACTTGAACTTGTTGCTCCGCGTCTTGTTCATCCTCTTCGTCGGAAGAAGAGCGCAACCGAAGTCGTCTTCTCCGCATTTGCAGTGTGGGTGTGTTTTCCCTCCAGTTTTCATGGTTTCATTTGAAAACCGAATTTGGGTGCATTGGATCAGGAATTCAGGATTCAGGCGTAACCTTGACCAAAGTCACCAAACACACGAAATTTCAGTTGTTATCAAACAGCCCCTAAATCTTATGATAAATATGAAATTGAGACAATTTCAGATAACAATAATAGTAATTTAAATATGTTTATTAACTATGTGAATCCATAAAAAAATATAAGTAATTAAAGTATGGTGCGCTAGTGAATTTAAATTTTGTATTGTATTTTTATTGTTAATAAAAGTGTTTTTATTTATTATATTTATTTTTGTTTAATATGATAAATATATAATATTATAGATATGTCATGTTTTTTCCCATAATTTTTTTATTTTTATCTATCTCTTTAGTTTTTTAACTTTTTATATATGATTATGACATCATATGTTGATCCATTTGACTTGAAACAAAAAATAATCTTTTTTTATTTTAATTTCCTTGACCTATAATTAATTGTAAAAACAATTTCCATAATTATGGCATCATTGGTTTACCTATTTTATCCAAATGTTTAAAATTAGATTGCAAGTTGGGTTAAGTTTGTACTAAACTTAGGCCCAACTCTATGCAATGGACTAAGGCTCAAGCTCAAGCTCAAAGCTTGATCTATCTAACTTTGGCCCAGCCTGAATTGAAATTTGATGTATTTGAGTTGGGCTTGGGCTTGGATTGGTAAATCATCCCCATGCTAAAATTTAACAATAAATGTATGTGTATATGTATACATATATACAAACATGTATGTATGTATGTATGTATGTATGTATGTATGTATGTATGTATGTATGTATGTATGTATGTATGTATGTATGTATGTATGTATGTATGTATGTATGTACGTATGTATGTGTGTGTATATGTAATGAGGTCAGGCTCAAATTATTTAAGCCTAGGCTTGAGCATAATACAAAAATATAGACAAGTCCAAACTTTTGACCCTAGGCATAGGCCTGGCTTGAGAACCAAAAACCCAAGTGGGTCTAAAATTGCAAAGTGGATTGGTTTAAGTTTAAATTGAACCCGCCCAATTTGCACCCATATTGGTCATTGACCACCAATTAGATGGAAAAAAAAGTTTTCTTTTTTTTTTCTTTTTGAGTTAGTTTAAATTTTTATTATATTTTCATCATTAATAAAAATAATTCTTATTTCTCAAACTTATTTTTGTTTAATACGATGAAATACATAATATTACAGATGTAACCAAAGATTTTCTACAATCTTTCTTGTATTTTTAATAATTATTATTTATATTTTTAAAAACTTTTGTTATTTAATTATGACAATGTGGGTTGACCAATTTGGCCTAAAAGATTGAACCATTGATCCACCACTTGAATGGGAAAATGGTTTCATTTTTGAGTCAATTGTATATTTTGTATTTTCATCAGTAATAAAAATACTTCTCATTTACGATACTTATTTTTTGTTTAACATGATAATATCTAATTTTAGAAATGTGCCTAATTTTTTTATTTTTTATTTGTATTTATTTTTAAACCTTTATTATTTAACTATAGGCTATTGGTTGATCCATTTAACCTATATATAGTTTGAACTATGCACTTGGCACACAACACAAAAGGACAATTTAGTTTTCATGTTGGGTTTAAACACATAGGATTTGTATTGTTAAAATTATTGGATATATATTTAATTAGTAGAATTTATTGAAGAGATAAGAGATGACAAAAATACTTGAAATAAAGGATCTAAGGAGGGAGAATGAGAGTTAACACTTTAATGGGATAGAATTGAATGAAGGGAAAAGTAATAGTTTAAATTACATTTTATGTCCTTACAGGACTGAATAGAGGTGTTTTAGTCAAGGAAAAGTACATCAAACTCAACCGTAAGGATATTTTAATCAAGAGAAAATTCATAATCTAGACCTCATTTACACTTTTAATAATAGTATAGATAGATGAATGAGAAACAGTATTAAATGTAATATTTACTTTTGAGATAAAATTTTGTAAAACAAACAAATGGGAAGAATCATTTATTTACAAAAAACAAATGATGGAATTTAAGAGATTATTTTCTCAAATGGAAAATATACTCGGGAGAATCAACAATTATCCTATTTAAGTTGGATGGACATAATTGACATTCAAATGAATCAACATACAATAGTTGGTAGATTGCCACATCTTGATTTAGGGTTCCAATATTTATAGGGAGAGTAAACCGAACAGTTGATTAGAATGCTAATAGGAGTGGATTTGAGACAAGCCGATCCGAGCCAAATACCTAATTATTCAAGTTTGGCTCGCCAAGACAATATCAAGTTTGAGCTCGACTCTATTTGGGCTTGACTCACAATCAAGCTTCTTATAAAAAATAAAAATTAAACATATCAAAATTGTTTTTTTAGCCTTACGAGTCAAGTTTCATCGGGCTCAAGCTTGGCTTGATTAGCAAATGATCCTATATATCAAGCATTTTACAAGTCGAGCTCGAATACCTCGTGAAAGTTGATTCGTTTCCACCCCTAATGGCTAAGATTCGTTTCCACCCCTAATGGCTAAATAGTCTCAATGGTCCATAGGGTCAATGTTCAGGCCAAGTTGAGTTGGGTTGGGTTTAGACCTGAGTGGCCGAGTACATTATGTAAAGTGTATTAAGGGTGGCAGATGGGTGGGTTGGGTTAGGTTAGGTGTGGGTTGAGCACCAACCTACCCATATTGACCCATTAACCCATTTACCACCCACGTCAGTGGATCAATGTGGGTCACAACCCACTCTGACCCTGACCCACTCTAACCCACCCATTTGACCATCTAATTGACACCCTAACTCAGCCTTAATTTTGACCCTGTAATCCAATTATTCAAATTAGACCTTTTTTTTCACTTTTTCTCTGTTCTAATTGCTTAAAAGCATACAACTATATATTTAAACAACAAAAACCAAGAAACATAAAATAATCAATTTTTTAAATGAAAATAAATGCATCAAATCATAACAAATGACAAAAAAAATATATTTCTCATAAAACATTAGAAAGTGTAGGAAAAACTTAGAAAATAATAAAAAATTAAATAAAAATATAAAGGAGAAATTTCAAAAAACATAAAAAATTAAAGAAAATACAAAAAATTGCATTAAAGTATAAAAATTGCAAGAAACGAAAAAATACAAAAAATGTAGAAAATGCCAAAAATTGTAGAAAATGCACAAATTGATAGAAATTACTGAAAGAAAAATAAAAAAATCATAAAATATATTTTCAAATAAAAATTCAAAAAATTCAAAATAATAAATAAAACAATATTACAACTAAAAAAATAATCAAGGAAATACGAGGGCCAACCGCGGAGCACCCCAGTGTCCCCGCGGGTACCCACTATCTGCCCTCGTATGTCATCTAGGGCATCCATCTCCACCTAACTCTAGGCGGTCCAAGTATAAATACGAGGTACCCCCCTCCAGGTAAGGGATCTGATCCTGGAACTTTAGTAACTCTTGGCATACTTTTGATTGGGAGCCTAGTGCCTACGAGCGACCTCGCCCGAGCCCTCGTTTGCACCAAACCCCCTCTTTACTCCTCGTACTAACTTGACCATCGGAGCCTCTACTTCGGGTTTTCACCCGAGGCCTCTGACATCTCCTATCTTGTAGAACATCTCGGCCTCTTCAGGACGCTTCACCTCGGCTACTAGCCCTCGTACAAGGGAACCCTGCCTCAGTTACGAGCCCTTAGCCCCCCTTGACCTCCAAGAGACCATTCCCCTCAACCTCCACTCTTTGGCCTTGGCTTACAGCCTCCAGAGCCTTGGAGCCCTCGACTCTCAATCAAAGCTCGCCAATCAGAATGCCAACACCACCCTTACCCTAATGGGTCAAGTGACCCATCTTAACCCGCCATTAAATTAGGGGGATTGGATGGGCCATCAAGTGGGTTGAGATCAGAATTGCCAACCGCGTATACATGTGAATAATGTTATATGATAGGTGCATTCATGCATTAAAAGCCATGATTCACGGTTTTAGCCTTTGGTGAAAACCATTTCATAGCAAAACTGAACTTGTTTTGCACAAATTTTGGGTGTATTCAATATTTAATATTGTGGTCTGTGGTGTTCAAAAGCGCAATGCATTTCAGACTACTGGGCCCCATCGTGTGACATGCTTGAAGTTGTAAGTTTTGAAACACACCATACCTTTTGCGGTGTTATGTACTCCGATTGTGTGGTATACTTCATGACACTGGGATTTGAAATTTTAATTTTAACTAAATCAATGTTTTACAATTTATAAGAAGTGCAGTGCATTTTGGAACACAAAAAATTAACGTATTGTAAAGTTTATTATATTTTGTGATGATGCATGATCCGGTCGGTCCTAGTTGTCGGTAACCTTGCCTCTGACGGAGCGGGAGATGCCTGAAACAGGGAGGAAACAAGAGATCCACGGGGGTTAGCACTCTGAGAAGGCAAGGAAGATGAGAGATTCTCTTAGACCAGAAGGCACAAAGTATCACTTGCCTTTACTCTGGGGGGATAGGGCCTTTTATAACCGCCCTGGTGCACTCACTCCCAAGCCTCTGCCAGATCAGGTGTAACTGCCTCTGCAGGGGCAGACATAACTGCCACTGTCTTCTCTGTCGGGTCAAATCTCCCTCCATCATTTTGTATTCTAAAACCAAGGCTCCGTTTGGTTTGCAGGAATAGGGGTCTAGAATCAAAATTGGAATGACTTATTTCGATTTCAACTATTTGATTGGACGGAATTGGAATCTCATTCTCATTTCTGCTAGAATAGCATTCCTCCATTTGAGGGAATGAACATTCCCTATCCTTCTCTTGGGAATGAAATCTCATTCCTGTTGATTTTAATTCTCATTCTCATTTTTGTCTGAACCAAACAGATTATTGGAATGGGCCATTATAATTCCGATTCTAACTACGAACCAAATGGACCCTAACTTCAGTTGGTTCCAAAACATGCCATAGGTTAAAAGAACACCTCGCCTCTATGGTGTATCTTGGAACTGTTTTTTGTTTGTTTTTCCTCTTGAAATGGTCATAGAACACCACCTTAATAAAAAC